ACTGTCAGATCACCTGGTTAGTCGAATGGAAAGCGCCCCAGCTCTTTCACCAAGCGCAATCTAACGCACGATCTGATTGGTCCAAATGGTACGAATGTAAATGATTTTCTCAAACTTGCACACCTCATTGAAACCTCCAAAGGTGAACGTACAGGTTTCTTGCCGTCTGTTTTTTGCCCAAACGGTAACTTCAACGCATAAGCCATGGCGATTATAGTGCGGACTTGTTGTTGCGGCTGTGATCTGCGAACAGGCATTCTCCTGATCGGGATCTTTGGATTGGTGAGTGTTTTTCATGAATTTGTGTCAAGTTGCATGCATGTACGTGTACACGGCATGGTTTTCATTCAGCCATGCATATGCCTTCTCATATTTCTCACATACCGTTTCGCAAGAGTTTTTGATGAAGTTATTTATCTATTTATTTATATATATATATATATAGTGTGCAATAATAACAAAACTGAAAAACTGAAACTATTTCTCCGTGAATTCATTCTATGAGGGCTTAGCGTTTTCTGACCTCAACCTCTGTAAAGCCGTGATGTTAACCGACTTTAGCCTGGTGGTTGTTGGCCTGTCTTGCGTCTTCAAGCGTTGTTTGCGAACAGTCGCCTTAGCTGCCTTCAGCTTTTAAGCTTTTTTCGTCAAAAAAGGAAAGAAGGAATTATGAATTGGCTTTCGACAGTCCACCGATACTTCATCCTGTTTTGATCCAGTAATGGAAAATGAACAATGCGAGTGAAAACCATTACAGCGCAGGCTGAATTTAGCTGTTAAAATATTTTCTTCTATCAGTATCGTTCCACAACTCGTTTCAATCCTTGATAATTTGATAAACGTGAAAATACATTCATATTGTTGCCAGATATACCACGCTTTTGTGCATCTGTTTATAATTTTACAGTTGTCCAGGCGTTGTTGTACGTAGTCTTTGCATTTTCGAATGATACTGCGTTCATAAATTAACCATACTGTGTACGCATTGTAAGCTTGCAGTACAACTTTCAATTCCTATGTTAAAACGAATTCTGCTCACAGCATTCCCTGAAAACACATGATATTCATTTTTTTCCGTTTTATCATCATTTATAGATTGTAGTTCTTGAATAACAGCTAGTTTGGTTTCCTGCCGTTTGTCGGGACGTGACAAAATGCTTGATAACTCCCGGGTAATAAATAGCTACTCTAAATGCATGACTGATTCCGAGCATAATTCACGTAATCAACTCTGTCTAGTGTATCACTCTCT